TGAATTTCGTCTCGAAGCCCGAACCGAAAAGCCAGCAAACGTTGGACAGGTGTTTTGACCAGGTTGGTTATGATCAGCAGTGGAAATCCATCGATCCAACCGAGTATGGACCCGGGACCTCACAGGTAGAAATCAAATACAATAACACTTGATTTCATTACCTTCAGTAGCAAAATACGTACGGCGCAAGAACTGAAATCTTCGCTGACGGTCATGCACAGAATTATAATATACTCCTATTAATATTATGTTAACTAGTTGACTTCCACAAAACCAAATAAAATTATAGTTTCTGACAATTTTTTCCTTAGTAGTTATTATTATTATTCATTGGTAACTACTTATGAAATTTTTAACAAGAGCTGTCTAACTAATTTATGAAACAGTTCTCCTTACCAGCTTTGGCACACTTGATAAATGAATCAAAATAATTAACGAAACTGTTAACTGCTCCAATGAGTACCGAAAATTTACTGTTATAGCTGTATTCAGAAAAGCATCTCGTCAAAGTTTCAGTACATTGTAGTTCTTGTTTTGAAGTGAACCATTAAACTTGTTTTTTGTGAAAACTGTTTCCAGCGTTCTATTGATACTGGTAATCAAAAGCCATATGAGCTGTATGCAGTCAGCCGTGAGGCAGAAATCTGAGTGAACTTTCACTGCGATATAATCAGTTCGAAAGGTATAATGAGGGACTGGTGCTTAACAAAAAAAATAATGGATCGACTAAAACTTTCCTAAATCATCTGTGTAGACGTTGATTAATTTTTGCTTGGCAGCGATACGAACTAGACCTGCATTGAAAACATTGAAACGAGGGTTTGCAGACATTGTTTACTGCACTGGTTTGGCAAACTCTTTTTGCTCGCAACATGGAAAAATCACCAACACTGATCTATCGGAAGAGGTTTCAAATTGTATTGCCAAACCACTGACGGGTAACATCAAGTTTGGCATGAAGTATATGTAGCAAATTACCACGCTATAGTAACACATGCCACATACGAAATTTCAAGTTCCGGATAAACGCTTATAATCAGACGATAACTGAAAACCAATGTGAATGGTTATATCCACATCCAATGAGAAGGATGTTGAAACAAACAGTAGACGTCATGGCAAAGACAAAATGGACAAAATGAACTGTGTGCTACCAGGATAGCGATGCACTATGAACACGATTGCAACGGATAGATTGCTTGATTCCAAGTAAAGAAATTCAGCAAAGTAAATGCTTACTCAGAACGCACTCTATTTGCGAATGTGTACTGCATAGATTTTGTTCAAATTCTCTCACTTACTCCCTCATATCATAGTGGATTTCACTCCAGTAAAACCACCTATTGTGTCCACGCACGTACAAATGACCCACGAGACTCCACCGTACAATGGTTGGGGCTCCGAAGAAGATTCTTTGGCCAATTGCAAAGGTCTGATACCCATTCCACCGAAGGGCGATTTCCGCAAATTCATTGAAAAAGACAGACAGGGATTGGAATCAAACATTCTTCGATTTACAGCACGCTTGGTGACCAATGATCCATTGGATTGCGATCGGTTGTTCATAATCTCTTGCTACCTGTCAGACGAAACTTTCTCAATTTTTGAACCACCAAGACGAAACTCAGGTTTGTCAACTAGATGATTATGTATCTTTCATTTGCGCCGCAATTTTTTATATTTTGTGACATGAAATTGCAGCATATACAATGTAGATATCTCTAGTCGTGTATTCCGCGAGTTCCAGAGCAAATATATCAAATTAAGACGGCTGATAACATCAAACTTATTGCCCTATAAATGTCATTATTGTGTAATACAAAGTCTATAACAGTGATAGGTTGAACTCATTTACCATAGATCATGTCATGAAACTTGAATATCATCATCGAACTAATTGATTTTGATAGACAAGTTATCAGCTGTGTTACGAAGGTCCTTCGATATATGGAGAGTGTTTATTGCTTCATATGTTTTTTTGCCCATGGTTGCCAATTCAAGTAAGGCTAGTGTGCTCAGATCTCCATCGCCACCTACACCACAAGAATATATATGCCCTCAAAATAGTAACAATAAAATAAGCAAATTCTTATTCGTCCCACATTTTGGTTTCATATCTCTTTGTAGGCTTTAAGGGTGGCCTGTTCCTGGAACGTGGTCGAGTCAAAAGGCCTGGAAGTGATCGATTCCCGGTCACATTGTCGGAGTATTATAAACCGGCTGATTTGTATTTGGGTGGAGTTCTGGAGTTCAATCGTTTCCGTTTTGAAATTGTGGACGCGGATGCGTACGCGATGAAATACATGGAAGATCATTCAACTGAGTATCCACAGGCTGACGTGAAGCATATTCTAAATAAACTGCGACCTTTTGCACAGGGTCGATGCGAGGAGTTGCAACAGTATGCCACAAATCAGGATCCGGAACACACGGGCACATTCGGGTATCGCCAGTTGAAGTGCCTAATCGATCAACTCACTGGTCCGGATAATGCACTAACTAAGCACGAGATGATCACACTGGGACGTTATTATGCTGAAAGGTTAGTGCTTGTCAGGTCCCCTAAAAATGTTGGAACTTGGTCTTTTGGAAAAACAGAAAATCAAATGATATGAACTCGAGTTTATCCATGTTTATTTGAGAAAATTTAATCCCTTACCATCGAACCAAACAAACTTGACTTGCTAATTCTTTGGTTTTTATCTCAGCAGCAATGTAAGTCCCAGGTTTCTTGTGCAGACCGCACCAACTGATAGAGATTTAGCATACAAACAGCTACCTATTCTGAAACGAAACAAAAATTTCGCGCCTTACGCAAGTGTCCTTTTCTGTGGATTAAATTGAGTTTTACACTGTTCCTACTTATGACTCACGGACACTCATAATAATCACTAATTCTTTACAAGTTTGGCGATCTTCGACAATATTGGTGGTCTATATTTTCTCAACCGATTCACCAAACAATATTCACATTTGGTATAGCCCAAATGGTTGTCGTTTTCGTACTCGTCTTCTTCAGTTAGTTACAGTACAGCGATACCAGTTACCTGCGTGGATTCTGATCACACCGACCACAGAACCTTAACCTTCGCATTCTCTGATTTCTAAGTTTTACCTCCGCTCCTTTCATGAGCATCATTAAATGATGAATGAAAATGAACACTGGTCAGTCTGTGTTGCGTAAAGCTGAATTCTTGAATTGTTGCTCTGCTCATTCATCATCGTTTGAGCTCAGTGTACTCGTATTGTTTACCGTTTCATTCATTAATTATTCTCCCTTTCATTGTATTTCTAAAACTGTGAAAAACAGAAGAAAAAATATCACGAGAATGGAGTGTCGAATTCCGTTCAGTTTGTTACACAATGAACCACCTTACACAACCACTTTGTTTTGCTGGACTGGAATTCTGACCACCTTTTGATGGGGTCAGTAATGTTGGGGGCTTTTATTGTGGTTCCGGGGATTTTTATTGAAAAGTGATGATGATGATGATGATGATGGTGATTATTTCAATATTGACTGCTAACGACAATGCTGATTTAAAACAAAACAGTTTATAATTAAAACATTTCAGAATACTGAGACGAGTCTTAAGTTTGCGTAATCCAGTTGTGGTTGCCAACTTTTGATCGCTATCAATCTATCAAAGAAACTATCAGAGGACTGTAAAAGTGAGGCAAATACAAAGATATGTGAAACAAAAGGCACCAGTTGCCTGCGAAAAGTAAGTAAATGTCTACAAAACTCAGCCAGGGAATCAACCGCAAATGTTCAATGTTCAATGTTCTTCAATTAGAGGCAGAGGGTAATTTCCTGTATGAGCCTCATCACCACAGACTCGAAGATCTCATTCATGATAGATCTGCATACCACATTGTTCGCAGGACGCTGTCGAGCTTCCTCTTGAACATCTTATCATTGACCTCTTCCACCTGTCAGCTGGAAGGGAGTTCCAAAGATTGGTTACCCTTCGCGAT